GGCCCTTATGGGGAGATAGACAGATACCTCCTAAACCAATGAGCTGTGATGCAAGTATGGGAGACGGTGACCAGGCCATGTGTACCCCTCCCAATGTGTCAAGTGGTACTTAGCAATGGACACCTTGATGTTCAAGAGGGTTGGTAACCACTGCGGTAAGCAACCAAAGCCACACTGAGAAGCCAGATGCTACCAGTTCATGGAAGTATCGAGGGAAGCCCCATGAGTGCAAGCTTGTTGGCATCCCATCATGACTCCAATGGTGGGAGCGATGAGATTATGCCATAGGAGCCATTATGGTGCGGCGCAGCGTGTGCTGGCTCAGTCTGATGGAAGATGCTGTTGCATCTGTTACAGCTTTCAGTACAAAGAGCTGTGTCACCATCAGACAGGAGTTAGGAACAGCTGTAGAGACATACGAGTTCTCTGTAAGAAGGATGATTCAGTTCCTCAGCCAATACAATATCTAGAAAGTAAGCTTGGCAAACCAGCCAAAAGAGATGCAATGGAGCCAATACCTGCATGGCTGGAGGATGGAGTTTCACGCAAAATCAGAGTTTGTGTTCATGTTATAGTTTAAAGAAGTAATGAAGAAGTAGTTGACCTGAGGAACAGACCCAACAGCACAAGTAGAGCTCTGCAGTAGACAGGATCCTGTATGGCCAGTGTCAGGGTATTGAGCAATTAGACTGTTCAACCATTGTTCCACAGTGATTGAATAGCATTGGCTGCCAGCCTTGGGCTGGCCTTTCCAGCGCCAGTGGAAGGAGATCTCCACCACAGAGCTCTCCATCCCAGCTCTTGTGCACATACCAGCTGAGTTCCTACCTGGAATTCATAGACTACCGCTGTCCCTGAGGAAGGGTTTCAGCGAGGCCCAGTCCACTACTTGGGTATTGGCACTGATCCTTCAAGAAACTTATTGGAAGTAGGTCTGTCTGTGATACATGCAGCAGGCCTCTCTGGTACAACCAGGGCCATTGCCTTTGCCTGGATCCTAGTCTGGAGGGGAGGTTTACAACCTCTATAGACCCATATTGACAGGATCTTGCTATAGTCTAGTAGCTCTACTGGACCTAAAAGTGGAATCGCCCACCTTCCCAGACAGGGAATGAATAGATTCTACAGAACGGAGAGTATGAGTTAACAGGGAGCCGACCATAAGGAGACTGACGGGCAGGAATCCGGGAGAGCCACCCATCCAAGGATGAGGTGGTGGACCGAAGTGTCGGGTGCACAGGTGGTGTGCCTATGTGGTGTTGATGACTAGCTAGAAGGACTACTAATCGGGCGGCTACAAATCAGGTTCACTTTTTCTGAACCAGAGTTGCAGCCGCCCGACACTAATTTTCCTTTTTCCCTTCCCTCCCGCCCGGGTAAATTGGATGGAAGTAGGTCTGTCTGTGATACATGCAGCAGGCCTCTCTGGTACAACCAGGGCCATTGCCTTTGCCTGGATCCTAGTCTGGAGGGGAGGTTTACAACCTCTATAGACCCATATTGACATGATCTTGCTATAGTCTAGTAGCTCTACTGGACCTAAAAGTGGAATCAGTACAATTTGGAAACCAATTCAATCCAATTCAATCTAATCCAATGCAATCTAATCCAATTGAATCTTGCTTCCAGCCAAAATGTTCATTTTATCCTTTTTCTGACATTCTGAGTCACTCCAGTTGAGTACACTACAGCCCTATAGCAAGATTTGCCCATCCCCTACTTATAATAACATAACACTGTTTCTAACGATTTTGGATTCTTTCACCCGAGCAGATACAATGATGCAATCGCTACGAACCTCCTAAGTTCAGCTCAGATCACAACCCTCAAGTATCTTGGGTTTTGTTTTGGCGGTGATGGCGAGCTCCATGCAAAATACTACGGCCTCCAATTGAATTGGCCAGAAGGGCTTGGGAAGAAAATTCGAGGTCTGGGAATAAAATCCGACTTGCTCTGTAGAGCTCTGGTACAGTTTATACAGAACCACAAATCCGAACTCTGCTCGAAAAAAGGAGGATTTGATTCGCGCCGGGCGACACACTGGAATGATGAAGAAACGACAAGCCATAACCTTAAACAGGGAATGTCGTTTAAGTAAATTTTCTTCCCAGCCCTCGGATTTTGCTCCGATGCCCTTGAATTCTCTTCCCAGACCTCCAATTTTCTTCCCAAGTCCTTCTGGCCAATTCAATCCGAAGCCGTAGTACATAGATCACTGAGTACATGTATGTATGTGCTGACGCGACTCACTCGACTCGACTCCATCAGGTCTCGCTCTGAGGGTTAAGGATCATTTCCACGCAAGATCAGAACACCTTTTGTCCACGTCAGAAGGAGTTGAAGTTGCGGCATGGAAAATACACTTGATTATTGAGGAGGGGTACTGACTTCCCTTGTTTAGAAGATACAACTGTACGAAGAAACCTAGATTACTCCTTTGGTTGATCGGTTTACTTACATGTAATTAATTGTACATGTACATGTAGACTACTCTTGGAGTAATCATTAAAGGCAAAGAGTTTAACTACTACTGGAGCAGTAAAGTATTCTAAGGTACCGTACGATAGGGGTGTTCATCATAGCTGGCATACGGTAGCAGGGCTGTTCCATCACAGGAGGGTCCCAATGCAGTGCAGCACAGAAGGCTAACAAAGGAGAATAAAATTGTGTAATACTAATCAACACAGCGGCTGCAGTGCAGGAGCTCCAATCTTAGAATGTGATCGGCGACAAAAAATCAAAAAAAGCAGAAGATAATGATTGCTGCCTTTTCGTTCAGAAAAATGGAGCTACAAGACAAGAAAGGTCAAGGTTGTCTAAAATTATAGTCCGATATCTACAATCAATTTTGTAGCATGCTTCATCTACTAGTACCGGTTTGGTGTTGCATCAAGCCAAACATATCCACTGGTACCGGTAGACTCGTGGCAGGGTTGACCGACTGGTACCGGTCGGGCTGTACCGGTGCTGGGACAACAGGTGTCCTTCTTGCTACTGTACGGTACAGGATCAGAAAGGCTAATCTTAACCAAGAGGTGAAAGCATTGAATGTTTGTGAGAAGGTTTTTCTACTGTACCAACGTGTTCATGTTTTAAACACATGTTGAACTACAGTGACGAAGCGCCTCTGATCTCTTATAGCACATTTCAACAGGGAAGCCAAGCAGCGAGAGCAGCAAAAGCAGCAAAGGCCTCATCACTCTGCACTCAGCACTCATCACATCAATCCCATGCAGAGCAATCGAACAGAAACGAAACTGTTGGATGCTTGATGGATGGCACCTCGATCGCAGTAAGGTCAAAAGCAAAGCAGAGAAAGGGCAAGGAAAGCACACAAGAAATCAACCAAAGAACTTCCGAAGAGGCAGCCGACGCAACGAAGATTAGCGAACATTTGACGCCTCTCATCGATCCGCATACCGGTACCACGACGAGACTTTGGTAACTCATCGGCAACAGCAAGCAAACTAGCTAGTGGGCGAGCATGTCTGACAGCACTGTGGTGCAACAGGTTCCGTCGCGTTCCGCAAAGGACTATGAGACAGAGGAAGCTCTGCGACAGGCCATGACGAATATGAATGAACCTCCGTTTGGCAACCTCCAGGCCGCAGCAGACACCGCTTCGACAGTTTCAGAAGACCCCAAGGACGGCACTGCAGTCAACAACAATACTGCCAAGAGCAATTCCGGAGTCTTGGCCGGCAATTGGGATTGGGTGCTAACGAATTACGATGGCGACAACAGCGAACCGCAATCGGTAGACCATGAGCTTCAGCGTCTCAAAGTCCTCATGTCCTACATGATCTTGGATGCTGACCGCGAAGAAGCCTTTGACAGATTGACTCGAATGGCATCTCGCATGTTTGATGTGCCCATTTCGCTGGTCAGCCTGGTGGACCTTGGCAGACAATGGTTCTTGTCCAATCATGGAATGGGAGATGTTCGACAAACTCCTCGGGATGTCGCCTTTTGCGCTCATGCGATTCAAGGAAAAGGTGATATTTTCGTCGTCCCTGATACGAGCAAAGATCCGCGGTTCCGGGAGAGTCCGTTGGTCCTCAATCCTCCCAAAATTATGTTCTATGCTGGGGCACCACTCCTATCACTGGAGGGGTTCAAGCTGGGTACTTTTTGTATTATTGATACCAAACCGCGCCCCAATGGACTCACAAAACCTCAGCAAAGTCTCCTCAAAGATTTCGCTGCAATTACTGTCAAAACAATGGCTGATCGAAGACATTTGGCGGATCAGGAAGATCCGTCACGGTTGGTCGCATGTACGGCACACGATTTATTGACGCCGTTGTCCGGAGTATTGCTCTCACTCTCCATGCTCAAAGATGATGAAGACTTTGAAAAAACGCTCAACGAGCACCAAAAGGAATGCATAGCCACGGCAACGAGAAGTTCCGAAATGATGCGAAGAATTTGTCAAACCACCATTGAAACGCTGCGAAAAGCAAGCAAGGGGGTAGTCGTCAATAGCAATGGATCCACGTCGGATACCAACAGAAACACGACATCGACAAAATCCGATAATGACGGAGAAGCACGACCATTCATTGACATTCGGGAATTTGTCAAGAGTCTCCACATGATCATCGATCCCATTCCCAAGAGAGTGCCGCTGGTCATCACGGTCGACTCATCCGTTCCTATGCACATTGTCAGTGATGACTTGAAAATCTTCCGATCCAGCCTGAACTTGCTTTCGAATGCGTGTCGAAACACCGAAACGGGATCCATACGATTCCGAATGTACATCAACGACAATCAATTAGTTTTCGAATGCGAGGATTCAGGACAGGATATTGAAATGGAAGATCGTGATCGCCTTTTTCACCCCCACATGGATGATTTTGGGGCCGTGGCGGATCTGGGACTCTACTCCTTGGCAGCGCAGATCGATTCTCTGGATGGTCAATACGGGTTCCGCCCTCGAGGTGAAAGTCTCGATGGTACGTTCATAAAGGACAACAAAGGTCGGAAGGTAACTGGATCTGTCTTTTGGTTCAGTATTCCTATCGTGGTGCCATCGGATCTCCCGAGACCTTCCAGTAGTGACGGTATCACCCATTTGTCAGGAATTCGGTCCGTGGAATCGTTCGCGTCCGCTGGGGCCAGCGTTTCCAGTATTGACGCGACGGGCATATCTAGAAACAACTCGGGTCTCTTGGCGGTTACCGCGGCTGCCGCAAGGTCCATGTCCATGTCAGGATCGTCCAGCAACTGTCTCGATTGCTTGGTGCGGACGCTGTCGGCGCAATCGTCGTCCGCCTTTGGTCAACGCAAACAGCCTCTGAGAGGTACAGTCAATAGTACGTGGGAAAAGAAAAAAGGTTCCAACATTAACATTATGCGAATCAGACAAGCGCTTGGTGGGGATACTCCTTCAAGACCAGCACACTCGCAAAGCTCTGGATCGCTCAGTTCAGCTTCCTTTGGTTCTTCTGCCAAGCTCTCGTCCGCCAGCTTGATGGGACTTGCTCAAAATGCCGGTGTGATGGAATCCGCCCAAAAGAAGGCATCCATGACTCCGAAGCCGGATACACCTCGCAAGAAAAAGGCTCTTGTCATTGAAGATTCCATGGTGGTACGAAAGACACTGGCCCGTGCACTCCAAAAGCTTGGCTACATTGTGACTCAAGCTGTAGACGGCATGGAGGGCCTCAAAGAGCTAAAGAAAACTGTCTACGACTTTAGTCTTTGCGACTTTCTCATGCCCAACATGGACGGATTGGACTGTGTGCAACAATATCGCAAATGGGAACAGGATAATCGACCGTCGTTCCGGCAATACATTGTTGGCATCTCGGCTCATGCAGGTCACAAGGACATTACCAAAGGCCTGGAGATTGGCATGAACGACTTCAAGCCAAAACCTGTCACTATCAAGCATCTGACTCAACTTCACGAGAGCACAGAGCTTGTGCAAGTACGAGCAACGCTTGACGAGCTACACCGAGTCAGCAAACGGAGCAGATCCAATATGTCGCTCAAAGATAAGAAGCTGAAAATGGACGCCGATGCCATTCTGAGCTCAGCCGCAGAGCTTTCAACAGCGTCGCTCTTATTGCAGCGGAAACGAAGAAGCAGGAACGAACTCAGCATTAATCTGCGGTCAGATGACATCCTAGAAAGCAATCGTGCAAGGAAACGAGGACGGTTTGCGGATGACATGGACTCCGCAGGAAAGGCCGTGGAAAAGGTTTGTTTACTAGCTACGGACAGCCATACTCATGAATCTGACTTGCCGAAGCACATGGAGGCAAATGGCTGGAAGGTGACTCAGGTTCATGACGGCGACAGTGTCCTGCGTATGCTCAAGACGCGCAACTGGGGGGCAGTCTTGCTCGATGACGAGCTTCCACGCATGTCGGGAAGTCGCTGCATTGCAGCATTTCGCGAGTGGGAACTCAAGAACCGAGTGTGTCGCCAAAACAATGTGTTTTTGGTATGCAGCAGTGGCCTTCCCTCGCCACACGACGCTACCTCCGTCGTGCAAGCACCTTGTGGTTTCGATGGCGCTCTGGATGCACCCGTGTTGTGGAAGGACGTCAAGTATCTGTTGAAGAAGTCACAGATCGGAGAGCCCGAACATCGCGGGGGTCTGAATATTGTGACCAGGTAGTACGGCAAGGCGTTGATATTGCTTTTGGCTGTTGGAAGCATGTCAGTTTTTAACTGATGCTGTTGGACTGCACTAGAGAACTACTGGTAGCTACTACTAGCAATTCATGATCAAGATTAGCGTAGTCGTTGATGCAACTGCAGCTGCGAATGTTCGGTGTACCAACACTCCATAATAGATCTTGCTGTGCCACTGCTGTGCCTTCCTTCTGAAGAAGGTGTAGTACTCCGAACCGGTACCGGTACCGTAATAATAATATGTGCGAATGAATGCGGTTCGAGTTTCGAGTTGGTCTTGTGGATTTGGAAGTTGAAACCAATTCCGTCATCCAGACCGCCTGCCTTTGAAGTTCTGCTCGGGAGAACTCCTAAGCAAACAGTACCAGGTACCGTACCTACCGGTACCGGTATACTGTACCTGTTGAAGTCCTTGAATTTTTAAAAGAAAGCATAGTCTGGGTCAATATTAAATTTTTCGAAGCGCTCAAGCTTCAAGCTATGACATAGCTAGCAAGAGCTCTAGCTAGCTACGGTAGCAAGCTAATAGTAGAGACAAGAGAGTTACAGCGGTGCTCGAGTTCGCGTCAGTCCGCAAGACAGCAAAATGTCCAATGACTGACTACTAGGTGTTCTTACCTTCCGGTAGGTTTTTGTTACTTAATCAATACACATGCTGTGGAATGCTTCAAGACATTGCGAAAGTCACTATTAATACTACTAGTAGTATACCTACCAGTTGTTTGTGAAAAATATGAATTCCTACTCTATCCTGTGTCAAACAATAATTCTGTTTTTTAATTAAAATAAATTACACAGTGTAATCATTTATGTAAAATTATATATTATGTACATTTTGCAATCATTTGTTACAAAATAAACGGTAATAATCTGGCGGTTTGAATGGACACGGCTGCAAGGGACAATGCAAAAGCGGACTTACTAATCTTGGCCATCAAGAGACCCTGAGGGGCGCGTCAAAAGAGAATACAAGAAGCTGCCAAGAAGCTTCCCAAAATAAACTCCAAAAGCAGTCTTGAATACTGTTTAGCATGGATTATTGATTAATATTCGTAGGAAGGCTGATACAGGGCATAGCGCGCACTACGCAACGCGACTTGAACATCTGGTTGACTCTGACTCCCACTTCTCTCGCACCAATTTTCCAAACTTGAGTTCGATCGAAGAACAACAGGCAGCAGTTGTTGCTGGGCCCACCAAACACTGCTTATCGGCCATTGAATTGCAGTTAAAGAGTATAAAGCTACTCGTAATAGCTGGTGGTTCTCCAGCTCTACCATATTGGGCTGGAACACAAATCAACAAAGAAGCAACAATTTTATTCTAAAGACCCAACCATCTGTACAAGCAGCAAGAAAAAGGCGACGCTGCTTTGTTGCGTCGGAAAAAACACAAGCTGTTAATAATCCCCAGGCTGCACCGAGAACCACCACGAAAACGACGTGGCGATTGTAGCTCTCTGTCTTCTCCCGTTCCTTTATCTATCCTTGCGTCCAACCATCGCAATCCCCACTACAATTAC